TCTCTCTTCCTCTTGTCTCTGCTGCTCTTCGTGGCCGCCAGGCTGTGCAGGAGGAGCAGGGCGCGCTCGCTGGCCGGCTGCGCGCTGCCCGATGGCCCCTTGCCTGGACACCTGCTGGACGTGAGTGGCACGGGGACCCTGGCCCACAGCTACCAGTATGAGGTGCGTCTGCAGGGAGGTGCTGGCACTAATGAGTTCAAATTCCTGAAACCAGTGTTTCCAAACCTATCCCCCCAGGTCCCTGGGAATGAACTAGAAGATACGCCTAGCTTCCGCAATAGTTTGGGAGTCAATATTCAGTAATGTGAATTATTTCATTTTCCACATCTATTTTATGGCAATTGCAAATAAATGTTTATTTTTCCCAATTTGCATGTACTGTACATGTTAGTGATATTCTTGTAGAGGTTATTATGCTCCCCACTTGTGCTCTTATGCCAATACTTACTTTTAATTTGGGTGTAATGCAATGGTAGTTTATTCTGAAACCCAGGAGGTCTTAATTTGTATATAATTTGCCTCCTCAAATAATACACATTTTTTGTCCTTGTTTCTCTCTTTTGTTAAATTTTTCCATGCATAGACTTATGATGAAATAAATCACTTTAGCAGTAGTTTAAATGTTCAAGCATTTGTCTGATTTTTTTGTGTAAACCTTTTCTTATTTCATTTATAATGGTTCAACACACAATTATATTCTTAAGAATGTGCTCCATCTTTAGCTAACATTTAGAAATGCTGGTTATTACTGAATATATTAATTACACTGTTGATAGATATTTATTTGTATTGAATGTTTTTACTAATAAGTATTATTGAACATTAACATGTGCTAAGACAGAAAACAAAACAAAAAAACCTGGAAAAAAGATTTGGGATTTTGCTCAAGAAAGATTCCTGGTAGGTCACTGGGTAGATCCCAGTACAGAAAGAAAAGGGGAAGGCAAGTTTCTTACTAGCATTTCTTCATTTATATTGGAAAGTGATTGTGATGGCCCATTAGTATTTTGACCATTAACTGACTCACAGAATGTGAAGGTATAATTTTCCAGATGTCTCACTAATAATACATAGCCATCTAGGCAAACAAAGACACTTCAATAACTTGTGTAGGTGAAGTATGTTTGTGTACTAAAGTATACAGTTTTTGTCTGTATCCTCCAATAATTGTGCACTAATTTAATAAATGTTAACCATGCTTATTTAGCCTTGTGATAAAATTTAGAATTGCTTGTATTCATCTAAATTTTCTGATATGCTCGTAATCCACTAAATTGATCTTAAAACCTAGTATTGGTTATCAATGAAAAACTTGATAACTGTTTTTGGAGATTATAAAAGTGTCATACATAGCACCAAGAAGTTTCAAAAGATCCTTCTGCAAGTTCTACTTGTTTTACTATTTTTATTAGCATAACGTAATAATAGAAAAGTATTTCATTTGTGATAGTTCCAGAGATATGCACAGTTTAGATTCTTACATTTATAAAATTGAAATAATTGTAATAGGAAGTTCTATCTTAGTTTGGCTCTAGTGACTACCTGACTAGGAAAAATATTTCTCCATGATAGAGGAAGTTTCTCATGAATGTCACACAAATTCTGAAGTCTGTTCATCGTGGAAGGAAAATGTAGATGAAAGGTGATCAATCATAGTGTGTGTGATAGAGAGTGGTGTGTGTGTGATAGAGAGCAGTGGGAGGGAGAGGGACAAGGAAGGAGGAAACATGGGAAAGGAAATAAGTGGAGGTGTAATATGATTACATCTAATCCTACAAATCAAAGTCAATGCCAAAAGTGTCTCTTGAAGATGTACCTAAGAAGTGATTTGTATTAGTCAACTGGTAATTCCAGAATGAACTGTCTCTCATACTTGAATATTTGACATATCCAGTATTTGCACTTTTCAAAGCTAGAATCTGTTGGATTGGGTAGACAATGTAGAATCTTTATATTTAAGAGAGATGGGGAAAATAGAAGGCAACTATTCTGCAGGCTAATTACATTCTAACTTTCTCTTTTGAGAACTATGTTATCCTCTAATTGATTCTATAAATAGAGAACAAAAACTATTCATATATTAATAAATCAAGTAAGTGGTAAGATTACTATCTGTCTTTATTGCATTTAGTAGGGAAAAGATGAACACTAGCTTAAAAGGCATATATAAGTCAGGCATTGGTGGCTCACTCCTGTAATCCTATCTACTCATGTGGCTGAGATCTGAGGATCATAGTTCAAAGCTAGCCAAGGCAAGAAAGTCCATGAGGCTCTTATCTCTAATAAACTATGCAAAAAAAAACAACCCTGGAAGTGGCACTGTGGCTCAAGAGATAGACCATTAGCCTTCAGTAAAAGAAGCTGAGTGAGAGTGCAGAGGCCAGCCCCAGGACCAGCCCTTCATGTTAGATAAGATACTTAAACTACTGAAGGTGAACATGAAAAATGGTCACTTTTTACACACCGGAAAAACTTAATTAAAATGATGAGGAAGACACCATAAATGTTAACAAAAAGTGTAGAAATTGGAAATTTAGTGCCACTAGGAATGTAAAGCATGTTGGAAAAGGATTTAGCAACTCTCCAAAATGACTCAGAAATTCATAAACTCTAAAAGAAAAATCTATCTACAAAATACGTGCAAGTGTTCATAATAACATTATTTATAATAAAACAGAACCTAAATATTCAGGAATCAATGAATATATAAATAAAATGTGCTTTCTTCATACATTGGAAATAGACTGGTATGTGGGTACATGCCACAACATGGATGAGCCTCAAAAATATTAACTTAATAAAAGAAATCAGTCATGAAAGATCATAGGCTGTATGATTCCATTTATGCAAAAAAGTCAAAATAGGCTAATCTATAGAGACAGAAGTGCAGATTAAGTAGTTGTGAAAGGTAGGGAAAGTTTTTTTGGTTTATTTGGTGGATGGTGAAAACATTCTAAGGTAGAAACTGATTTTAATTGCACAATGCTAAATAAACTAAAATTCATTGAACTGTGCACTCTACATTGGTGAACTTACATATTGTGGTATTCATTATTTCCACAAAACTGTTAAACAAAAAAGTGGAGTGGCTCTAGCAGCCTGTGGTTGCAAGTAAACTGGGTTTTCACTTATCTATAATGTTGGAGATTAACAGAAAAATCAAACAGATGCAACAGCAGAGATAAATACTAGGTACTTGTATTAATTTTTCAAATATTTTTTCCAAGTAGAGGAGTAGCAAGATTTCTTTATATATGGAAGCAACTATGTTTCCTCACTCTAATGGAGATTGACCAAGCCCTGAGGAGCTCATATGCCTAGGCTCAAGTAACTAACCAAGTTTTAAATGACTTTGCTAAAAGAAGCCAGACTCTTACTCTTCAACTGTCCTATATAAAGCTAACTTTAAACCAGTGAATACAAATCAAGTTACATTAGCCAATTTTCTAATAAAGGACTACAAATTATATTGATGCTTTATTTCTGAAATAAAGAGATTCAAGTACAAAAATACTCTCATGTGATAGTGCAAGTGACTACATAGAGGAAGATTGCTTCTTATCATCTTCTAGAAGCAAATTTTCTTTAAAATGGTTTAATATTCCCTATGATATTTTCAAAATTTGCATGCCTGTAAGTGGTCACTAGCATGTTTAGGTCCTCCTTGGCCCAGAGAGAAAAGGCAGATCCAGATCTCTTTTTCTTCCTAATCGTATTGGTAAACAAAAATCCTGCTAACATTTGCTGCCCTTATTTTCTTGATATGCTATTTATTTTTTAGTTCAAGATTTTTAATTATGGTTATTATAATACCAAAATTCATAGGTGTTAAAACAGAGCAGTGTTGCACATCTGATCATATAATTTAAATGTTTTCTAAATTGTTTATATGTAAATATAACATAAATGGCATATAAAGCATTAGCATACTATATTGTTTAGGGAATACTGAGGGATAAACCTACATATCCTATGCAAATGTGGTAGTCAGGGTAAGAAATTGTTTTATTTTATTACTTTGAGGCTAGAAATTGGGCCTAGGACCTTAATGAATATTCTATGCACTCACCCTACCATGCCTGTGATTTAATTATTTTGCTTTAAACAGACATTCCAACAACACTTCCTGACCATTCTGTAAACATTAACTCATTAGGTTCCTATGAGAATAACCCTCTCAGGTAAATACTATTAGTATTCTAAATAATTTCAGAAAGTCTATAAATCATGAGAGGCAGAACTACAATTCCAATGTGATTCTATATTCTAACTACTTTCTACCATTGTATTATAAAGCTTCCTGTGGCATAGGTACATAGTCCTTCTGCAAATATTTTATTCTTCTCATCTATACATCAAAATAACATTTTAATTATTGGTCTGCCAATTTTTTCAAGCCTGGAAGATCCATATACACAAAGATTATCTTATGTAAGAAGATCATCTTCTTACATGTATATACTGGTTCTGGAGTTTGAACATGGGGTCTGGGTGCTGTTCTTAAGCTTTTATGCTCAAGGATCCACTTAAACCACAGCTCTACTTCCAACATTTTGGTGGGGGAATTGGAAGTTAGTGTCTCACAGACATTCCTGCCTGGACTGGTTTCCTCAGAATTCAGCCTCCGAAGTAGCTAGGATTATAGGCATGAGTCACCAGTGCTCAGCTTTATACATATATGAAAGAAAGGGAAACAACAAATAATCCCATGGCCTTGGAACTAATAATCCCATGCCCTAGGAAGGTTGTAAATTGTGCCTTTTCTGTCCTCATATATACATATGAAAAAGTTATGATTTTATAAAACAAATTCAGCATAGCTATAGTAATGGAGAAGGTATCTTTTAATACTAAAGGAATAAGTTCTATACAATATTATTTCTTCAACTCAGAACAGTGGATGCACTGCATCAAGGTTTTAAAGCATGAATAATATAAAAATAGTATGCCCATCGTTTACATTTTGATTAAAGTAATTAAAAATAAGCATTGTAGATAAGTGTGGGCAAAACAAACACAGACTAATTATATAATTAGGAATTCCTGGGATATTGTTGCTGTGACAGTAGTACTGCAGTTACATATTAAAAGGCCTTATTTATTAGAGAAAAGTGTGTGTGTAAGTGTATGTATGAATCTGATATTTCCTTGCGAATACTCAGAGTGCTGAAGATTTATTTAAAGAGGAAAATGTATGGAAAAAATTATAGAGACACATGGTGGCGCTACAGGATAAGATGAAGGGCACCCATATCAGCACAACAGGCTCCATTACATAGAACAAAGAACATCCAACCCATTGAGAAAACAGCTTCACCTACACAGCTACTTCCAAGACTTTCTATTCTAAAATTAAGGCTAAATTCAAATTTCTCCACAAAAGAAGTGACCTGAAAGAACCATGGGAATCAGAGAGGCACTGACTCTGCAGAACAGGCAAGTGCTGATTTTCTTTATTGTGCTAAAATTATCTCATGCTAGTACTGAATCAGTTCGCTATTCTATGCCAGAGGAAAGAGAAATTGGCTCTTTTGTGGCTAATCTTCTGAAGGACTTGGGGCTAGGGGTGGAGGAGTTGTCCTTCCGGGAGGCCAGGGTGGTATCTGAGGACAATGAAAAGCATTTGCGCCTTAATTTGCTGACAGGAGATTTGCTTCTAAATGAGAAACTGGACAGAGAAGAGCTGTGTGGCTCTGCAGAACCTTGCATACTGCATTTCCAGGTGATGCTGAAACAACCTTTACAGTTTTTTCGGGCTGAACTGCATGTCAGAGATGTAAATGATAATTCTCCCACATTCTTAGACAAGGAAATAATTTTGAGAATATCAGAAAGTGCTCCCATTGGAACCACCTTTCTATTGGAAAGTGCTCAAGATGTGGACATAGGAAGGAACAGTCTTCAGAACTACACAATTAGCCCCAATTCCCATTTCCACATTAAAATTGGCAACAGTGTTGACGGGAAGATTTACCCAGAGCTGGTTCTGGATAGAGCATTAGATCATGAGAAGGAATCTGAGCACAGATTAACACTCACAGCACTGGATGGTGGATCTCCACCCAGGTCTGGGACAACTTTGGTTCTCATTAAGGTTTTGGACATCAATGATAATGCACCTAAGTTTGCTCAGAGTCTCTATGAGGTGCAGGTCCCAGAGGACACACCCATTGGGTCTTGGATAATCACCATGTCTGCTAAGGATCTGGATGCAGGAAATCATGGGAAAATATCCTACACGTTTTTCCATGCATCTGAAGATATTCGCAAAACGTTTGACATGAACGCATTATCTGGGGAAGTTCACTTGAAATCAGCGCTGGATTTTGAAGTGATACAGTCCTATAGTATAACTATTCAGGCAACAGATGGTGGAGGTCTTTCAGAAGAATGCACTCTTGGAATTAAAGTATTAGATGTTAATGACAATCCACCAGAAATAAAGATATCTTCAGTTACTGATAGTATTCCAGAGAATACTCCAGACACTCTTGTAGCTGTGTTTAGTGTCAGAGACCAAGATGCAGGAGACAATGGAAGAACAGTTTGTTCTATTCAAGAGGACCTCCCCTTTATTCTGAAACCCAGCTTCAAAAATTTCTACACTTTAATTACCGACAAAGCACTAGACAGAGAGGAAAGAGATGAATACAACATCACCATCACTGTCACCGACTTGGGGACTCCCAGGCTGCAAACCCAGCACACCTTCACCCTGCAGGTGTCCGACGTGAACGACAACGCCCCCGAATTCACGCAGTCGTCCTACACCCTGTGGGTCCGCGAGAACAACAGCCCCGCCCTGCACATTGGCACCATCAGCGCCACAGACAGAGACTCGGGCAGCAAC